GATCCGTGTCGATCAAAATAAACAATTCTATTGGCTTTAGGTCACGTGATGGACACGGCTTTAGACGACCCCCAAATATGACTATAAAAAGGGTTGACTATATAAAAATTTATACAATAGTGTAATATATTCTTATTTGGAACGGTTTCTTCCGACACTGGGTGTCTCGAAATAATGTGCTTACGCGTAATAACGTACAAGTGCGTTATTTCATATTTTACGAACTTTGTTGCAAATTATGTTTAACAGTTATATTATTAGAAGTTTGAAAAAATAGATTTAATTCTAGTGTTGCTAAAAAGTTTTATAAATGATTTATTGTTTCGCAATTTGAATACCAAGTCAATAAGTTTTCTTGTTGATTTACTGATTAATACATGTTTATACTGTATTAAAACTATTTATAATACGTACTGTAGATACATATTAATTAATAAAAACTAATAAGAAATAGAATTAAATGTTACATTTGATATTAATTTCACTCAATAGAAATTCTAAAATTTATTTAAATCCAATAGAGACTCCCAGTCCTATCCAATTGTGAAAGAAAAAAGATTATTGTGTAGTGGCTAGCAAGCAATCTGTTTTCAAATATATATATATATTAAAGCTATTATGACAAAGTTAGGTTTAGAATTTAAACATAATACGTATACTGTATATACTTACAGTATTCAAAAATCAAATTTAATCAAATTTGTTTAATTTCGTAAGTTCTGTGATGAACCATTTCTCATTTTTTCTTATGTATTCATCCACCAGCAAACTGATTTCTTCTTGCATTAATTGATTTCGGACCTCCATTAATATTTGACCTAGTCTATTGAGACCCTTTCCAAATTTACCACCATCACCCCAATACTTATCATTTTCTGTATGCTCAAATAATGGCGCGGTACTAGTTGACAATAATTTATACTTTAGTTTTTCATGTTGACGAAATTTTGCAAATAATGCTTTTCGCATAACGTGTTCCTTGAAAATTCCTTTTACGGGATCCTTATATTCCCAATCAGGCCGTTTATGACAATCATTGCGGCGAGCGATAATAAATGCTTCCCTTGCTGACCATGCCTTACGAATGGTTTCACGTAGAAAATTGCTATGAAATTTTTGTGCTTGAACTATATATAATTAAGTGATCAATAGATAAAATCCGAAAAAAAAAAAACCTTGAAAATAATAATATAAATCACTTACAATAATTTTCGGTGGATGGCCAATACAAATCATCAATTTTAACATGAATACGGAAAAAATTTGTAAATTCATAGTATGGTTCATCCTTGTTGTAAAAATAAACGGGATCGTTATATGAAACTCGAATGGATTGCGCCTAAAAACAAAAAGATCAATAATATTAAAAAAAAAATTTAATCAAAATTTTAATTAATTAATTATTTATTTATTTAAAGTGACTTACGAAATCATTTAATAAATTTTGCAATAAATATATATCAGAATCGGAATATCTATAGATTACAGCGCTCGGCTCCGAGTTCTGTATTTCCCATTTTTCCCATTTTTCTTTTTCACGATAAAGTAATGTATGAATGACTATCACGTCTAGAACAAGTCGATCACAAACACCTCGAATTTCTTTAATCAAGTGGGAAATATGACGAGTTTGGTTAGAATTAGACAGTAAAACAATGGCAATTTTCCACGCATTTGCCCAACAATTAACGGCACAATTAAGAACAAATTTGCGTAAGGTTTTTATATCGGGACATTTGAGATCGGAAATTGACTTGAATACAGGATGAAATCCAAATCTATGGAATTCTTCAACTGGATATTCAATTTTCGAATGTCCAAATGATATAAACAGTGCAAGAGATCGAATTGATTCCGAATAAGTAATTTCTGTTTTTCAATAAATAACTATTAGTCTATAAATTATAAAATATGCGGTTCGATAAAAACTTATTACAACTTACCATTATTTTTGCGGGGCTTAAGATTATTATTAATACCACTGGGACCATTATAACTCTTAAGAAGGTCCGATGGATCTAATGGCTCCCCAAAATTTTCAATTTGTTTGAAATTTGGTTTAGAATTCCTATTCTTTGGTTTATTTTCTTTGCTATGTATCGGGATTAATGGTTTTTCATGGTAGCGGATAATATTGATATCACATTGATCAAATAATGTACAACCTTGACATTCGTAAAGATTTTTATCCGATCCTTTGATAATAGATTCATAAACCCGATAACAACATTTTACTATAGATGATAATGGATTTTTAAGTTTAATAAAAGGATTGAAAGAATCACCAAGGTTTAGAGGTGTTTGGCCTAGTGAATGCTTTAATCTATTTTCTTCAATTTTCTTCTCGAAATAGTCATCTTGGGAAGGTCGTGTAGTAGATGTAGTTGGTGTATTGGTGGCATTCGAAGCTGGTGGAACAGGTTGATTGGTCGATTTGCTTTTTTGTTTCTTTTTTTGTTTTGGATGTTCACCGCTTTCATCATCTGGCTTTCTTTTTGTACATCTAGAATGGCCATTTGCATCAGTAACTTTATCAGTTACTTTAGAGGACTCTGACTCCTCGCTTTGTGCGTCGTCAGTATCATCAGGTGCTAAAAGTGAATAAAGGTTTGCTGATTCGAATTTTTTCATAAGGATTTAAATGAAACAATTGAGTTGTTAATAATGTAGAAATAGTTATATTTATGCTACTATTTTTTTACGAAAAAAATGATTATATTGAAGGTATCAAATTACTGAATATGTCGTAATTGAAGAGTCATATTAAATAAAAAAAAAATAGAATTAAAGTTTAACGGATACTTTAATATATTATACTCGTATCATAGTTAAATTCTAAATATCTTTTATAAATATATGTAATCTTGAATAGTTTGATTAATATATTACAAAAGTTAATTTCTTTGTTATCCATCATGACTAGTTAAAAATTCACAATTAGTTAAAAAACTTATATATAAGAGTTTTTTTTTCCTTATGTTTAATAGAACAATTTTTTTTTTCCTGAATTGTCTAAAAAAAATGACCTGCTCTTATTCTAATTGCAATAAAAAAAGCATTGATGATGATATAAATTTATGCGACGTGCATCACAAAGCGTGGAAGTGTACGAATTATTTCGTTTATTATTTTATTGAGAAATCAATGTGTTTATTTAATAGAATCGTTTTTAGCCACCAACATCCATGGTGGTGGAATCAAGTTAAAAAACTCGGTGTTAATTGCAGTGCCAAAAGGCGCTGCAGAATTTTCAAAAACCGAGAAACAATTTTTAAGCGATTGGATCAAGACCAATGCACAAGGTACATAGGTCATATATCTATTAATTGATATCCATATTCATTCTAATTTTTTGATCAATACAATAAATAGGAGTTAGGGTGGAGGAAATCTATAATATTATCTTATCCCCGACCCTAGTAAATAAATACAAAGAATATAAGAAAAAGATAGAACAAGACCGTGGAAACATAAATGAAAGAATTTTATACCATGGTACAGACCATTCCTGCGCAATCATAAATAGCAACATAAAAAATATGCTATGCAAGACAGATGATTGCGCAGGATGTGGGATTATAATGAACAGTTTCGATATTAAGAAGGTATATACGCAATACGTAGTAAATTTTGTTAATTATTTTAAAACTTAGTCATTTGGTTGATTTTTTTGATTTTATATTTGGAGGTCGGAATTAACCGACAAAACCGATCGTTTCAAAGATTGGGTCAGGGACTTTATTTCACCCCTCATTCTTCCAAAGCCCATTTTTACGGTCATGGAGGGGCAAGTAGTATTATGTTTTTGTAATTGTAAATTAATTCTTAATTATTATTACGTATTATATACAGTATTATTATTATTACTATGCGAAATTCTATTTTGACCCGGATTAAAGACTAATACTATTAAGTTCTGTCGCGTGATCAACTTTATAGCTTATCGAGTAACTTTAACCCGGATGAAACTAGAATTATTATTATTACGTATTACTATCGCTATTGCTTAACATTAGGTATTTAAATGATTAACTGATAAGATGCGATTATATAGGCAAGAGCTTTGCCCACAGACCCTAACAGAACATGCCGCATAATGTTTGTAACCAAGGTATTTATGGATTTATTGAATGTTCTTAGATACATTTATCATTTTATTTCTCAAGCTTTGTAATTCTATTATAAGGTTATCCTTGGCAACATGTGGCAACCGAATCAAGTCGATCAAAATGCACGCGGCCCTCCAGAAGGCTATGACTCAACGTGGGGCCGAGTTGGTAAGAACGACTCTGCTATGTGATTATTCTTCACGCACATACATATATACATAAATGATGGAATTTTTAAATCATCTAGGGCATTGTCCGCATCATGGCGGCACGTTAAATTATGAAGAATTCGCCGTATATTGGTAAGGTTATGTTTATATAGGTTGTTTATTTATTCTATGACTTTGAAGATTCACGTACATTTCATATGTTAATTATATGTTAATTTAAAGCCACGAGGCGTGTCTCCCCACTAAATATATCGTATATTCGTACACTAGTACTAATGAGTAAAACCATACTGATCACGTACGTACGTAAGGCTTTATTCATAAGCTATATATATAGTGTATAGTAAGCCCATAGGCTTTTAATCATAACACACTAATATATATATATATATATATACTTAATTGAGCATAATAAACATACCTTCTATATATCTCATTAAAAGTTTTTCTCGTGCGATCTTACTATTTTGTATTTACAACTCTAATTATCCTAACATTAACCTTAATTTTAAGCAATCGACTTTATTTTGCACGCTCTTCCTGTTATATTAGTGACGCAAATAGCTAGCTTGGCTCGACTCGCAGTTAATTTTGACAAAAGCTGAGTCAAAAAATTAAGCCAAACAACTACTCATAATCAATGCGACATTTTTCAATTTAACATAAATTAAATTCCATTAAATATTTTCAAAAAACAAATTTCTGCTTTCGAATTATTACTTATGTATAAGGGAAAACTGTTTATCCCAATAAATTATAAAATTATCAATTTAAGAAGCCCAAAATGTGGTTTGAGTGTTGCTGGAAGAAAAATCAAACTGTCGACTTTTAATTTATCTCTCATCTGGATCTGGTCATACGTAACATATTGTTACTGTAGAGGATAAGTCCAACTTACAAGCCGGTTTTTTGGGGGTTCTTTCTAACGACACACATATTCATAGTTACCTATTAACAAAGTTATCTAAAATTTTACTACACTTAGAATTTAACAATGAACAATTTGATTTAGTTCGTAAGAATCGATTTGCACACATTAGTAAAAAGCCCTGTTTTAAGCATTTTGCAAGCCAGTGAGAATCGAACGATTTTATTTAACTCAACTAATCGGGCTGAATAGGGTCACAAGATATACAATTTATACCCGTCACATTTACCTTACATCGTATACATTTGAACATTTATATCAACTTTTAACACATGGGATTTCAAGAGTTTAGATCTCGTTTAGATCTCGCTTAGATCTCGTTTAGTTAACTTTGCTAATAACGATAATTCATTGGTACAGTATTATATTATAGATTACTTTTCCAATTGTATAAAAAATCTTTCCCTTAACGTTAATTTATACGCTGTGATTATAAATTGTATTAGATTTTATTTTTGTAATACAGTAGAGATATTTAAAGAAATATTTGGTTATGCATGCATATTGAAATTTCGCGTTTGTCTTAGTATAACCACTTTTAAAGATCATTCTACTATCTCCTCTTCCGCATCCCCCTTTGCTGGATCATAATTTGGATCTTTTGATTCGTTATCAGATTCCTCGCCTTCAGGTTCTTCAACTTCAGGTTCTTCACCTTCCTGTTCTTTTTCCATTTCTTTGACATCTTCCTTGGCGTCTCCTAAGATCTCTTCAATACTTGTAATTCTATATGCTATAATCAAAATTAGTTTAATCGTTACAAATTAATCTTTTTATCTTATTATATTTGTCATTATTTCATGTAACTTACCTGTTTGCTAAATTTATGAATTTTCGGATCATTAATTATCGTTGTACACGAATGAACGATTAAAAAAGATTTTTAAAAAAATCATCAATTCACCTTATGTGTGTGCGAATTTTCAATAACAACCCTAGGATCATCTTCGCTAGCTTTGACCCTTTTATGAGAATCTCCAACGATCTATTAAAATGTATAGAAATTGATCTTAAAGTTTCTGATAAAAAAAAAAAAAAAATACCGGTATGTAGATTTTATTATCTATAAAATTTTATTATAAAATGACCTCAGGTCGAGTGATTATTTCTTTCACGATTCCTTCAGACAGTTGCACACTACTACCGATAGGATGATATTTAACTTTTTGTCCGATTTTTAAATCTTCCTTTTTAATGGTTGTTTTAACTTTTTCATCGGATTCTTGAATTGGCATTTTTTGCTTTTTTTTATTTTTATTTTTTATAAAAAGATGTTTATCTGTTTGAGTATGAATTGATGGATAATTTGAAACCTATTTATTTGGTTTGTTGTTATATCGGTATGTGGTATTTTTTTTTAACAAAATCAAGTCATACTTCTATACAGTCACCAAATTTAACAATACAATTTATAAATTGTTATTCGTTCAATTTTTGACATCATAAGTTTGACATTACTTTATTCTGTCACTTTTGTCATATTTTATTCAATGATGTTACTTCAATACCTGTTTGCAAAGTTGTATTATTTAAACGGTATTGAATGAATACTTATTAATGAGGTTTTTTTTAAATTCCGAAATCATTAGTCAACTAATTCTTGGAAATTTTTATTTTTATTTTTTAAATATTATTTATATGAGACATGTGATTTTTCACTATATAAAAAAATTGTGTCGTGATTTTTCACTACGTATATAAAAAATTGTGTCACACCGGGTATTGTAGGAAGTGATATTTCTTATTGAAAATATTAAATATTATCTTTAATTTGACAAAGTAGATTATACGTACGTATGTACGTACAACTTTTTTGCTACCAATTAATTTACAAAATCTGGTATAGCATACTGCGTCTTGATAAAATTTTTTTTTGCAAAATTTTAGTAATACTTAAGCTTATGCTTTATTTTGTCTTAATAACAGTACTGACGATGTTTTACGTATAGTTTTACGTAATATACATATATTGTAAGTGGGAGTTTAAGTGGATTTGTTAAATTAGGGTTAGGGCTAGGGGTGTACATATGATAAAATTAACCCCCAAATGGGGTGTTATATATAAATTCCGAATCCACTTAAATTCCAGGGGTAGTTAAAAAGCCTTGACAACCTTAGATCTATCAAATTAATCCTATATGATTTATACACTTTAAAGATTTTTGAGAATATAAAATTACAAACCATTGTTTTTAACAAAAGTGTTAAAAAGCTAACTCTAAAATTAATCTTTTATAATCCCATACAGTCTGCCCTCGTTATAACGTAGTGATCGGGCTGGAAATCCATTATAATGAAATATCCGCTATAACGTTATATAATATAATAATAATAATAATAATAATAAATGTTGAAAAATTTTAGATTGCTCCGCTATAGCGAGGGATTCGCTATAACGGAGTGTTATAACAAGGGTAGACTGTATTCAGAGAAATTAGACTTTCTAAAGTAGATAAAGAGAAAGAAATCCAGTCTTTTTAATTTCGGGTTAAGCTTTTTGAGACAGAACAAGCTTGTTTTTAATAATCTTACATATCTTCAAGTAGCGTTGTATATAATGCAAGAGACAGTTTGATACACCGAAAAAAGTCAATGGATCAAATTTTACTACCATATCATTGCAAAATAACGTCCCGGTGTGATATTTCAAGACAAATCATTTCAAATGATTTGTAATAATAATATCTTGGGTAGTTGGGTATTAGTGGATTGATCCCAGGCAGTGATAACGGAAATACATGACTGATACTGATCGGCCGCGTAAGCGGCCGATCAGTATCAGTCATGTATTTCCGTTATCACTGTCTGAGATCAATCCACTAATATCCGACAACCCAAGATATTATTACTTAATACCCTGACCTCTCACATGACAAAAAACGTAATTAGCTCATACGTAATTAAACCTTGATATAAAATGATATTAAATTAATTAGTAATCAAAATATTTTCTTCCTTTCGAACATAATTGTACCAAAAAAAAATATAATAAATAAAGTAAAATGAAATGCTCCTTTATAAAAGCTAGCGATTTTCATTCAACTTATGGTGATTCATCCAATACTTGTAAAAAATTTGCAAAACCATCAAAAGAAAAGCTCTAATCATATAAAAAAAAAGCTACACCTCAAAATACTCAAAAAAGTACTATGACATGGGCTAAACGATTTAAGGAATATATTAACGATGTTCAACCTGACTTCGATCTTGATAAATCTGAAGATAAAGTAGCCATTGCAGGTTTTCTCTCTGAATTTATTATACAAGTAAAGACACGAAATAATACGG